CCGCCGCAGCACGGCGCTCTACTTCTCCGTCATCAACAACAACGTCGATGCGTGCGCATGCTGCTCGCGGCCGGTGCAAATCAAACCTGGACGTGTTCGGGACCCTGATGTGGCGGCGAGGATGGGCTGTATCGAAACCCTCACCCTGCTGGTGGAGCACGGCGCCGACATCAACGCCTCCATCCTGACGCACCCCACCACCTTCCCTGCCGTCTACATGTTCTCTATGAAGTACCTGAGCCTGTTCAAGTACCTGCTGGACAACGGAGGCCATGCCCTCTCCTGCTTTGACTGTTTCTATGGCAACAAACCTCATCCACCAATCAGAACCACCCGATCACAGACCCAAGAGATGATCTACAGTGACAGAGGTCTGCCACAGCCACAGGGGACGAGAGGTGTTCAGGTGAGCAAAATTTAAAACAAAAACATCTGAAACCTTTCTGATCATCAATTCTGGACTTCATTAAAAGTTTTGTGAATGATTGATTTTTTCTGTGATTGACAGTTTTGCGAGATGATCTCAGCCCCCAATATCTCCCGGTGGGCAGGGCCAATCATTGACGTCCTGTTGGACTACGTTGGTAATGTGACTCTCTGCTCCAAACTGATGGAACACCTGGACAGTTACCCTGACTGGAGTGGCATCAAGGAAAAAGCAGGTAAATCAACAAGTGATCAGCTGGTATTTCCCAGTAAACATTCCTGTATACAAGTCTTAATAAAACCAGTTTGTCCCGTATTTTACAGCGATGTTGCTGGTTTATTATTGTTTACAGCGGTGTTGTCGATGTCTTACAGTAGTCTTTCTGTTTTTTCTCGTTTGTCCTGCAGCACCTCCGCGGCCATTAATCCAGCTCTGTCGGCTTGAGATTCGTCAGCTGGTCGGGCGTCGTGGGCTGAAGAGGTTGCCGTTGCCAGGAGGTCTGATCCGCTTCCTGTCACACGACTATGGAACTGTGGACGAGCCCTGAACAACATGAGACTTTAAACCAGTTTGTTACGTCAACTCAAGAGAAAGAAGAATTAGCTTTTTATCACTTCTGATTGCTCTCAGCTGCTTTCTGTTAGATATCAAGCGCTAAGAGCAATGAACAATATGTTAGTTATTGAAGGCTGGGCTGGAAGTTTTTATAAAGAGAGAACAATATTTGGACTGTTTTAATGAAATTCCTTGTGTATCGATTATTTTTTCTTATTTTTACGCTGTTTTCATAGATAGTGTGTGCATTTTTCTGAGTTTCTAATGTGTTCATGTCAAACTGTTTTTTAGACTTAAGAAACATTTGACAACTTTTAAATTCTCAGAGAAGAAAACACTCAGAAGAAGAATCAATAAAATGCAGAGAATAAATGATTGTCTGCGCATGTGAGGGTTTTCTGATTAACTATCATAATGGCACCTTTGTCAGAAACTTCAAACATTCGGCTGAGAAGCTGATCTAAATGACTTTCAATAGTGAGAAGCTGAATCAGTATATACAGTATAGACAGATTTCACTGTGCAGTGAAAAGCTATCTGGCACGTGAACAGACAAAAACATTTGAACAGGTAAACAGAGACGTGATGAAAGGTGAGCAGGTGAGCAGGTTATAAATAGTAATGGGGGTCGGGGATTTGTTGACACACTCTATGATATTGTTCTGACCAGCATATCTTCCAGATGTCACTGGACTGAAACTTCATTCCTGCTATCCAGAAATCTTCCACAGGGGAACCAGTCCCAAAGATCACTAATCCTAAGAAACTTAATAATTTTAGACCGGTTGCACTAACATCAGTCGTTATGAAAACCTTAGAAAAGGGCAGGACACTAAACCCCAAACTGCTCCTGCTGAGAGAGGGTCCTTGTTGTGGATCCCAGAATGCATCAGCGATGGATGATAACTGTTCTCATTAGATTGCCCGACATAATCTGTTCTGAGCCCAAACGCCTCAGCAGAAGTTTTAATACAAATGGCGGGTCACTGGTCGGTGCTAAAGGGTTGACGTTAAGGCGAAACTAACAAAATATATTTTGTTTCCCTTGTTACCAATGCCCATTCTGGGAATACATGAAATTATGAACCAAATGACTGCATAATAAAGATCAATAAAAAGCTGTGAAAATCATTGATTCATTCATTTTTTTATGCAAATAATTATGTCCTGCAAACAGAAACTTAGTATCCAGTAAGGACGCCATATTTGTAGTCTCGGTTCAATATTAATGGAACCTCTACCATCAGTATGTGAATGTGTATGAATGGATGAGTTAATACTGATGAACTCTTTACACAGCGGCCTCTACCATCAGTGTATGAATGGATGAGTTAATACTGATGGACTCTTTACTCAGCGTCCTCTACCATCAGTGTGTGAATGGATGAGTTAATACTGATGAACTCTTTACACAGCGGCCTCTACCATCAGTGTGTGAATGGATGAGTTAATACTGATGGACTCTTTACTCAGCGTCCTCTACCATCAGTGTGTGAATGGATGAGTTAATACTGATGG